TGGCTCGAAGACAAATAGCCAGAGCTGTGCTTCAAGCTGGGGGCGCTCGGAGAGGTCTCTACGTTTCCTAGAAGCGGAATCTGTCAGGGTAAGCCTTTCATGAGGAGCGTTGACAGGTTGATGAGGGTCATTGGTGGAACAAGGTGTCTGAGACTTGCACACGTGTAGTTGAAAAGCGGTGTAATAAATGTCCTTGCTACATACAAGAAGATGAGAAGCCCTTCGAGATGCAGCTTCGTCTGGACGAAGGGCTGTACTTGGTTTTAAGCTCTGGACGTTCAGGCTCGACCTTCCTTTGCAGGCCTGTTTGAGGCTGCTCGTGTTTCGATGGCAGAGTGGCGTCGTACAGCTTGGGACATGCGCAGGATGACTTCTGCAACATGTGTCCAGGCCGCTTCGTGCAGACCTTTGCCCATCTTCTGAGACTTGGCATTGCAAAGCGAGAATGCTTGGTCAGTCTTGCGTAAGATTGACTGTGTCGACAGTCTTTGCATCGTTCTCTTAGCCTTAAGCTGAAGACTCTTCTTGCATGCACATTCCTGCACGTTATCCCTGTAGTGTTCGGCTGAAGTGCATTGGATTGGAAGGGTGTTTTGTGTTTGTGGTGGTGGCCTCGAGGCTTTGTTTGATCTTCTTCGACATCAGTGTAATTCCGTGATCCAGCAGCTAAGCCGTCTGAATGGCGTTTGCATCCGCCTAGGAGCGCATTCTCCTAGATCTCTTAAGGACTGAACAGCAATAGCAATTGCAAACGCTCCCCATCGCAGCGTTCTGTGCACCATACCTGACATGCCGTGTACAGGTCGGTCGTATGTCCAAAGTCAATCTAAATAAGCCCCAAGTCAATTCATTTGGCAACGCCTGTAGGTCCCAAGTTGTGCCCGTAGTGTTCCGGCGCGAGACGAAGCCACCACGGTGTGCGAAGCATTTGCTAACGCCAAACACCGTACCACTGGAACCTGAGTGTTTTCCACAGCGCAATCACGCAGAATGTACGGAGATGTCGAGTTAACTGCTACTTTGCTGTGTGGGATGCTGTCAATGCACATGTCACATGCACCTCCAGTTTTGCCAGGGTTTTTGCAGATGCATGGAGTCATGACATGTTTCGTTGATTGCCGAAGTAGAAATTGAAGATAAACAGTCGCTTGGTGGCGCAAGCTCGCATAGATTTTGGATCGCACTTTGGGCCTTGCTGTGTGGCCCTGTTTGTGTTGAGCCCTCCCTAAACCCGGAACTTATGTACGTAGTTGTTGACCGGCTAACGTCCGGCTGCGCTTCGAATGCGAGCTCGTTTACACCGGTTATCCTTCCACCATCAACATTACTTTCATGATGATGGTGGTGATGATGATGATCATCATATCCATCATCATCAATCATCGCTAGCCGCTAGCCTGATACTGCGGCCAATGGGAGAGCACAGGGCCATCAGTATGCTGACAATATGACGACGACCAGGCTCTCACGCCCCCAAGCACCATCCAACCCCAAGCCCCCGAAAATTCACAACGTCCTGTTGTCCGCATCGAGAAGACTAAGCAAGTCAAAGTTTGGATGGCGGTTTCTATGCAAAGTATCTGTCGAGCGACCGCAATTGACCGCGAGAATGCTTTGCGGACACTGCGCATCGAGTGCAAACCACGGAAGGGAGGGCAGGAGCGCCACCCGGACAACCGCGTCGCCGCAGATGGCCCGCAGAAGGGAAGTAAACTTGGACGCCAACTGCGACTCCAATATCGGATATTGTGGAATAGATCCCGGCACGTCGTGGAGAATTGGGAGCACGGGCTTGTACATATTTGGCAGTTTCGGCAGTCGAATATCTCCCGAATACATCCGAATACACAGGATTCAACACGAGCAAGTTCATTTAATTCTGCAAGTAACGCGAACAGTAGAGTTCCTGTCCCTTTCTGAGGAAGGTGCATTCCTCATGGATGCCGCGCGCTCGCAGGGAGAAACTCACATTCGCAAGCGCGAGAAGCCTTTGGTCCTGAGGAGCAGCAGAAGCTGATGCTGCGATTGCTACAGGAGGCTGGGCTGGAGGGCCCGAGCTGCCCGCTCGCGGTGTCTCTTCACGTCTCTGTTGAAAGGTCTTGGTCAAGGCCCAGCAATCGAGCCCCTCAGCGCATGCGGCCCGTGCGTCGTGCATGGTTCAGGGATCAGACTGAGGTTGGCTACCATACATCCGTGTCTCAGCTGCATCTACAAACCGCATGTCAGTGTGCACATGCAGTTTTCTGGTGCGGCTGCAGGCACGCTACCAAGCACCTTTCCCACACTGCCTTTGTGGTATACGGAGGAGGACGCAGCTGCACAGATGCTTCAAGCTTTTCGTGCGAGCTTCCCATGTGAGAAATTGCAGGAGAAGGAATTCTTGAAGGGCACTTCAGTGGACACGCTGCTTCAGGGAGCTCACATTGCCAATGTCAAGGACGAAAAAGCCCTGGCCAATGGAATGGTGTGGGCAAGTCTTACGACTTGTCGAGGGTTTCCTGCTTGGTCTGCCAGGACTTGCAGGCCATGCAATCGTGCTGCGAGCAGTTGGACATTTTTACATCCCCACCTTCTCTGGAGCAGACGCTGCCTCAGCTTTTGAAGGCACGACGTGTTGGAGCATTCAGTTCCTGTTACAGTATCTTGGCCTTGCCAGGTCGAACTGTATCAAACACCTGCTTTGCTGCTATTGAAGAAAAGACACTGCCCAAAATCGCTCAATAGGCAACAGTTGCAAGCGACAGGGGCGTTGCCATCTTTTTGAGTTAGTCTAGAGCAGAATGAGCAGAGCTGGGGACGTACACAAAAGGCAGGAAGAAATGGCAGAGCAGCTTCCGCAAGCAACCAACAGAGCTTTTCATGCAAGCATTTTGTTGCAACGGTTGGTGATAGGCCCGAAAGCATGCAACACGCATCGTCGACAACATACACCAGCACACGGCCACACTCACAGCAAACAGCAGCAGCAGCAGCACCACCACCACCACCACCTACGCTCTTCTGCGATCGCCGCCTCGACTTCCTCTGTCCCCGGCGCAATCACCTCATGCCCTAGATTCCTAGACTGGCGACGAGCCACCGTCAGTTTGAAGCCGTGCTTTGCCTGGAGACTCTTGACCGGCCGCCTAACGGTTCGCATGAGTCGGGCGTTCTTTTGCTCTGTTCCTTGGCGCTGTTGTTGTCCGCTCTCTCTGTAAGTTTGGCTTTTCCGTTTTGAACCCAAGCAGCCAGTTGAAGTCTGAGTCCGAACAGCTGGGTTGGCAAACAGCCGAAACAGTGATTCGCGACAAGCAAAACGAAGTGTGGCATTGCCGAAAAAATCGTAAAAATCCATTTGTGAAGCTGAATGACAGCCAGACTACATTATGTGGATGCAACAGATGCCACCACACTCGAGACCATTTGTAGCCATGTTTTCTAACACCTTGTCATTACAGTAGGAGTGTTTTTTTGGGACCGGGTTCGCACTTCCGTGCTCCAGGCTCCGAGTCATTATTGACACACCCTTGTGCAATCTCTCGCGCTTTCATTGCATCATATGAAAGCACTGTCCATGTTCTGTGCGCTGCAGCAACACATATTTGATACCATTACTGCAGTATGTTTTCAGTTTCAACGTGTACCTATTTATCCTGCAATGCACGCTGATCGCCGGGGTTCTTCCTGGTCCGCGCCTATTCAACCTATTCCCGAAAGCCAGCTTCTTTGGAGCTTGCGTCGGTTGCAAGGAAACACATGCGGACTAAATTTCTCTGTCAAGCTGCGCTTGAACCCGCTTCCCAGTTCGCAGCACAGCATACAAGGAGCACTGCATCAGTCACGTTCGCTTACCAGCATCGGCTCGCATTTACAAGTCACTGCTGCCCCTCACGTCCCCCTGGCTTGCGTCGGCTGTGCAGTCAAGTTGCATCTGCATGTCTCTGCGCGAAAACAACATTTTCTACAACTTAGCTTCTTTATTCGGTTTGTCTTCGATATCGGACAGCGTTCAGAGATATCAAGGTTGCGCTGGGCCGCCTCAGTTGTGGCTTCACGCGCTTTCGACTCGTCCGCGGCTGGAGTAATCCTGGCGCCTTTCGCCGACGAAGCTCGGAAGCAGTTCTTGTCAGTGAGCTTCTGTGGAGTGGCTCCGAGAGAGTGTGGCAGTATTGCATCTGCTGTCCTTTGCCGGTTCCGGGTGTGGACGCGACGGCGCGGTCTCTTCGAGTAAGTACGCGAGGTAATTTGTCGTCACAAGTTGGCCGTGCAGGAACGATGCCCACATGACGGAGTAGTTCTGTTTTCACGCAAGGTTCACTTCGGTTGCTCGTCTCGCTCAGTTGCAAAGAGAAATCAGCACTGACAATCGTTGCCGTCACCACGCTGTGAGCCAAAGCAAAACTGACTGCTGACTGAGGGCTCCGTGTTGCGTTTTAGAAAAGCCACCACCCGTGCACCGAGCATCGCACAACCTTTCAGACAGTGGCAAAACGGGCCAATTCTCAGAAGCGGCTGGATCTAGCGGCCAGCGCGCCGTGGAAAGCAGCTGAAACTACTAACTCAGCCTCAACAAGCCAAGGCACTGAATCATTCCAGCGCTGCTCCGCACACCCGGATGAGAGACTGAGGCTTGCCTGGATTTCAGCTTTGGTGCTCTTTTGACGTGCTGGTACACCCGAAAGTCATGGACAGATTGAATACCTCATTGATTGATTTATGGCTTTAAAGTCGGGTTTTGTTTTGAACCCGCGAGCGTGTGAGCTGCCTGCCCTGCTCGCGGGACAGCTTGTCAGTGTGTCCAAGACAGTCCGCCTGACAGGGGCTGCTAGTGACGCGGATCTGGGCTTCGGGGTCGCAGCTGAGTGGGCTTTCTCTCTCTCTCTCTCTCTCTCTCTCTCTCTCTCTCTCTCTCTCCTCTCGCTCTCTCTCTCTCTCTCTCTCTCTCTCTCTCTCTCTCTCTCTCTCTCTCTCTCTCTCTCTCTCTCTCTCTCTCTCTCTCTCTCTCTCTCTCTCCTCTCTTCGCATATTGCCTATGTTCATGTTCTACTTCGAGGACACAGATCCTGCCCCATGCGAGTCCCTGGACACACGCAGTTCCGACTCCTCCCGATCGTCACTATCCCGGAGTATCTGGCAGGGTTTAACCAAGGTCTTTCTGCCATTTTCTGCCCACCCCCTGAATTTTTGATCTCTTAACATCGTGCTGACCGTTTTCATCTGCAGATACTAAAGTCTCAAGGGCTGTGGCTGTGACTTGCAAACAGTCTGAACCCGGTAAACCGGAGCCCAGACACTCTTCGCACAGAGCCGTGAAGTGTGCTGCGGGGTACTGCCTTCCGAGTCACAAAAGGCCATCAAATTAAAATTGAGCCGAAACCTTCGGAAGTGCAATTCGGGGCACCCTCCCTGTAACAAACCCGATGTTGCCACCGCAGTATGTTCCAACTTGCCACAGGAACCCAAGACACAAGAAAAAAATTGGGTTTCGGCGCCGGGTCCCAAAGTGTACAACAGGTGGCGAGCAGCTTTTGTTCCACGCAGAGCGGGACATTTCTGCTGGGGAGGAGATCTTCAATTGCTATGGCATGCAGGACCCTTGCTGATGTGTGTTTGGAAGAATCCGTGACACGAGCAAGTGGCATGCAAGGGCAACACCCAATGGCTCCTTAATGGTGGATTTCGGGACAGCTCGCGACCATGCGACGATCTTCTTGTCACACCAGCAGATGTGGCGACTTTGCTTGCATCCGTCACTTCACTTGCATGCTACTGATAGACACTGCGAGAAGTACGGGGCAGTTGTTCTAGGACTTGGACATCACACAGATGTCGAATTCACACAGCCTCAAGCTGTGTCTGTTTGTCGCTGCAGTCTCTGTGCTTTGATAGTTCTCCTGGCCCAATCCTGTTTAGACGCATCTCCTAACCAAGTCTTAGAGCCATTTTTGGTTGGCGTGCTTTGTGCTTCAGTTAATGCGAACCAGCCATTTGGCAATGATGTCAAGTCCAATGTGAGGTCAGTTCAGCGCTGGCTCACATGCGCTTTTGCAAGGCCCACCGCAGCCACCCTGCCCTCACTGTACTGTCGATGTTGGTCCGAAATGGGTTTGGAAATGCAGTGAACGCATTTCTACTTGCCAGCAAGTTGAATCTGCCCTGTTTCAACTGTCCACGGTCAATCAAAGAATGTATATCAGAAAAGAAGCCTACAATGCAGTGACTGCAGTTTTCTAGCACAGGCGTTTCGCTCGACGACCAACTGTGGTTCAGCAGAATAGTATGGGTCACCTCTCTCGCGACGCAGAGGGTGCGCTATCCAAGCACTCTCCCTTGCGATGTCTCTCGGGACTTTGCCGCCCCACACGTGTTGTTATTGTGCTGCCATCCGATATGTGGACTTATGTACGGCGCGTGTTCGGAACTGTCATCAGCAAGTGCATGTAGACCCTTTTTCTCTCTGCACGGGCAAGGATGAGACAGACTCAGCGGACGATGAGGCAGGACCTGTGTGAGCCCAGGCTAGCCATTCCGCATGCATCCGTTTTAGGCTTTGCAGTTCACACCTGCCACAGTGAGTTGATCATCTGTCAGCCCATTTGCAGCTCTGCCAGGAAGATTACCTTTTTGCGCGGCTGTCTCTTCTGCAGGACAGAGGACGAAGTTTCATGACCGAACGATTCGTGCGCAGTCGTCCAGAGAACGATGGCCGGCCATCATTGAGGATTTTGGCATTGGCAGCGGCTCCTTCTGCATATCTCCCACGGACATTCTTCCTGACGAATTGGCGACGATGCTGCTGGTGCACAGCTGTATGTTTCAAGAATGTCACGACCTGCAGCATGAGAAGAGAATAGGAACCACCAAGCCAGCAAATGCAGTAAAGTGTTTGAGAAGATTGAGGATACAAGAGGCCAACGTGCAAAGATGCACAGGTCATTTGCATGACAGATGCAGAGTTTGCCAAGTACCATCAGCAAAGAGCAGGCAGGACTGCTGCTCGCTGCTTGTTTGGCTCTACACTGCTTCCAAACCTTTTCTAGCGACGTTGCTTCAAGTCTCGGAAAGCCACATTGACATACACACTAACCGCCTTGTGCAGTGCCACAAGCGGCGGTGTGGATGAGGGCGACAACCCCGTGCACACGCAGCTGTCTCACAGAGGCAACTGCCGAACACAAGTTTGCAAGTTCTGACATCCCTTACAAGAGGCATGCGTTGCCTGTGCAACTCCAATGCAAGCATTCTTCAACTCCGGTCCAGGCGCGAAGTTTTTTGTCGCATTAGCCTTTCGTGTAGTATAAGCGGCTTACGCAACAGCAAGCAGGGCGAGTGGAGGAAGTCAGGGAGCGGCGGCGTTGAATCGCATGCACACTGTCATAGATTCGATGCGTCATGTTCTGCTTGGTTTCATTGAAGCAGAGGCACACTTGCACGAAGCACGAAGCGCAGACCCAGGAAGCTCACGACAGGGATGAATGGACGGATGAATGGAGGGATGGATAGCCGCACTAGCCGACTAGCCTTGGGTCAGATGTGATACCTTCCGCCTCGAAGCCACTCCGAAAGCGTTATTGGCACGGCAGCTGAGTTCAGGCTCCCGGTGATCCAGCAAGAAGGGATATGTTGAACAAGACAGTCGTCGCTTCTCAGAGTGCATCATATACCGGAACACCTCAACCTGGCTGACGGCATCACCCGTTTGTCAAGCGCTATTCTCACATTCGCCAGTATTCACCGTCACACATGAGTCTGAAGTATCGGCCAGAAGGATGAGCCCAAGGAGCTGTGGAACAGCCGAGTCTCACAACAGGGGATTTGACTTCTTGTATTGTTTTGATAAGCATGTGTGCTTTCGTGCAGGCTTTTCGCTGCACCTATTTGGAAGGGTGGGTGTTCGACAAAAGGGATAGCTTGCTTTCCAACACGATGCCCGAATCCATCCTGCAGCAGCAGGTGTGCTGTTTTTTTTTACAGGCTGCTTGTCTTGCTCCTTACCCCGCTCGCTGTTCCCCTCCTCCGTCCGTGAATCGGTCACCATGCAGAAGTTGTGTCGCTGAGCAGCAAGAGTCCGTCACAACACGGATGCAGAGAGCTCGATAATTTTCTCCAGCCGCCACAAGTCTGAGAGCAGAATGAATCGCTGAGATTCCCTTGTGAACACATTGTGCCTCTGGCAAGAAAGATCTGTGCACGTTCCAGCTCAACCGCACTTCATAGCATCGTCTTTCTGCTCATGGTAATTTCATCCGTGCTACCCACCACGTTCATCTTGTGCTGATGCAGGCGGTGCAGATCCAGTGATCGACCTTGGCGGCACGGAAGGCCTGGATGCAAACGGTACTCTGCCGTTGCATTTGTTGAGCTCTTGGGCTTTGAGCTCCGCTAGGCGAGGAGCTGACAGAAGCGCTGCTTGCAAACCTCTACGGCTGCTTGCTGCGCAGCTCTCACTGTATTCACATGATGCGCTCAGGTGTCTGTTTGTATCAGTATGTGTACAAGAACATCGAAAAGCAACATTAGCAAGTAAATACATGAGCAGAGATCGACATACATGACGTTGCACTCACATCGTCATACCACGGTCATGTCCGTCTCCGAGCAAAGAGGTCATGGGGGACTCGGCCCCAGTGGTGCTCAGTTGACCCAAAGACGTCAACTGTGTCGATGTCTCTCTCTGCAATACTTTTAATTTAAACACCGCGGCCGCTGCGCTCGGCCGCTGCGCTCGGCCCCCATGGCTAGGGCCTCACAGGGCGGGTTTACCGCTTTGCGGTAAAAGATGTATCTCATGTGCCCGTTCCAACACTGATCGCGGAGAAGCGTAACTAGTAAACGGCGATAAACAAGCTTCCACAAGGCATCTATACTAGATATATATGGGCCGAAAAGCACACAAAATAACGATTTTGGTGATGCGTGAAGTTATGTGTGCATATGTTTCGCACTTAATAGGGAGGCAGTGGGAAACATGGAAACAGTTGGTTTACAAAGTGTTAATGCTGCGGTATATATCGCGGTATATATCCATCCAAGAATGTGCTGTCCAGGTGGCAGGACTTCTCCAGCATGTTGGCAGGTAGTGAGCTCGCACCCCGTCTATTTTTTGGAACTGGTCTGGTTGTGTCCTGACCATGTATTCGCATTTCGCATTTCCGGGCGTAGGGTCCTGGTCTGGACGCAGCCATACGGCTTGCATTTAATTTGAGGTGAAACGAAAGAAAGGGCAACTCTCTAGGCAAAAATTCGCCAGCAGCTCACCTTCTGCCCTGTGCACGCAGAAGGGGGCTACACGACGAACGACCTCAACTGTAGAGCAGGAGATCTTGCGAAGAAACAAGCAGGTGGCTCGTCCAAAGGAAGAAGGCTCCCCTGACAAGGTCAGAGAGGAGACGGAGTTGAGTCAATTGGTCCGAAATGGAAGCAAAGGACCGGAGTGGGAAGGGGAGTGAGAAGGAGCCACGGAGGCCGGCCCCGGACAGGAAAACCAATTTGTCTTCACCTGCGGCATCAGCCCAATCCGTGCAAGCAAAACACTCCTTGTCTGTCCCGGCACGGCAGTGAAGCCACTGAGGCTTGGGTGCACCAGCAGAAAAGCAGAAACCAAATTGCACAGGTGCAGGAACTGTGGGGATGATGACACCAGAAAAGTCCAACCATGGAGTAAGGGTCTCTGCATCACGAAACGTGGAAGTAACAAGGGATGGCGTGCAGCCCTCATTGCCAAGCCACTCGACAAAGTCGACTTCCTGAAGTAGACGTGCGGCCCGAAGGTGCCACGAAACCCATTGGACATTCCAGTCGTCATCCTGGTCTAACGTGTGATGTAACTGCTGGGTCCATTGCTCAGCAGTGGCTTTGAGTCTGGACTGTTGGAGGCACTCGCCCTTGAAGATGGACTGAAGCCTATCGACAAAGGCAGACCAATCCACACAGGTGCCGACATCATGACAGAAAAGGGCCTCCAAGTCGCGCAGGATCCGCTCAGAGGGGAGATGCTGCTCATCAATGGCAGGGGCATGGTTCCATTGAAGGAGTGGACCCTGCGCCCTCACAGAAGGAAGCAGCACTCGGGCGCCACTGTCGAATTTCCTACTCCCTGTGCCAAGCTCAGCAATACAATCAAAGCCCTGATTGATGAGGGCGTGTCGACATCTACGGGCATATTCGAGGTGATTGCATAAGCCTTTGTTGGAACGGAAGTGAGCCAAGCACACAGCACATTGGGTGCCTTGTGCTAAACGTCGCACTGGATTGAGGCGCCCATGCCTTTTAAAAGCATGGTGAGACCATGCACGAAGGTCATCAAAAACGACACCGCAGATCTCGCAAACCTCATGAGCACTCTGCCTAGGTGGCAGATTAGAAGGTAGACAGGCTCCAGCCTTCAGGAATGCTCGAAATGCAAGGCCTTTAAACTTATTCAGTTCAGCTTGCCAGAGTTCTTCCAGAGTAGCGATGTATTTGGCCCGATTCACAGTTCTCTTCCAGGCCTCAGGTGAGGTCCGGATGAAGCCCACAGCAAAGTCCCAATCAGCCCAGGGTGGGGAGTCAGAACAGCAACATCTGTGCCGCTCCTGAAGCCATCCTAAAGAGTCTTGGACAGTGTCAATCCAAGCAGCTTCGTGGTGGAGGAGAGACCAAAGTTCATCCGTGGCTTTGAGAACAGTGGCTTTGAAGTGACGAAGCCGCTCCACATGGAGTGAAGTGGATACAGTAGGGATTCGAGCCGCAGCAAGGATGCTGTGGTGACTGTCGTGGCAAAGGTCAGCCTCTTTTCGACCGTTCGAGAGCATACTGCGTGCCATGTTAACAACGTGACTTTGTAGTCGGGCAATGTCTGCCGGTCGTAGGCCTGACCATGTCCCTGCACCGTAGTACAGGGTCGACTCTATGAGTGAGGTAAACAGGATGGCTTTTTCGGCAATCCTCACTATGGGAGAAGCAAAGACTTGTCGACGATGCTTGTTGAATGCCTGCCAAGCACATCCTAAGCGGGTCTTGATCTCAGCCTGCAAGCCACCCTTTGCATGCAGGATGCCAAACCCAAACTAGCTTCCGGCCATAGGGAGGAATCCAGGGGCAGCTGAGGAAGCTTTCCTCTGAAGACTTCCTTTGCTAGTGTATTGGAGCCCGGTCCATACAAGGCAACCAGTGCCTCAGTCTTGCCGGCACGGAGGTTTGGGAGCAGGGCTGCCTTTAAGCATTCTTCTAGAGTCACGCAGGTGGCAGCTTTTAGTTTCGCCAAAAGTCCCTGTGCGGTGGCATCTGTCAGGATGACAGCGAGGTCATCCATCCAGGTGGCGTCAACTGGAGAACATGTGGCAGCCGCCGCCGTTGACTTCTTGCGGCAAAGCCACTCAGGGTTCCAGGGAATGTGTACCGACAAACCTCTCCGTTGGAATTGCTCGCGCACTCGATGCAGAATTTCCGCGAAGAGGAAAGTGAAAACAAGATCCGCCAAGTTGTCGCCCGGTCGGGTTCCGGCTCGAACGGAGGCCAGTTGTGGACAATCTCCGTAAGTGACCCAGGAATCCTCCATGAATTCCCGCATGACTTGAGAAGTCCATGTGGAAGCGCCGGCTTCCTGGATCAAGGACTGTTCCCTGGCATACTCATAGAGTCTGTGGATTGATTGCGTGGGGAGGCCTATTTCTTTAATGATTCCCGCAAGGTGTTCATCACTAAGGCTACCTCCGTGTATCAGTGGGCGGACGACCCTATGGAACGCTTCTCTAAGGTCGACGAACAGGATGGCCCAAGACCGTTTCCTGTCGACGCAGGCCTTCTGGAATGCTCGAATGGCATGCGTGGCAATCTGGACTGGTTGGCCTTTTCTGCCGCCAATCTGCATTGGCGTGCACGCCGTATCAAGGTAGTCGGAACACTTAGACCTGAACATGCCGTGCACTGCCTTACCTACAGAGCTGCTGACAAGGATAGCTCGGTAGTTCGCGCAATCAGCCTGGTCACCGCGACCTTTCCAGATGGAATGGACCCAATAGATCGGGTTAGGCAAATTCCTGACTAATAGTCAATAGTTAATTTTGAGTACCAAAATTAACTATTAGTTAGAAATGGTGAATTAACTAATAGTTAATTTTAGAGTCAATTTTAAGATAAAATTTTTAATTAAAAATTAGTTAATTCTGTAGAATTAACTATGGAAATTAACTTTTTTCAACAGCTGAAAAGTCATGAAATTGATCAGAAATAAGCATGAAAATCCAGAGCCAAGATGCATACACAGTAAGCATGGTCGTATCGTGGCCTCCCTTCCCTGGCCCTTGCCCTGCAGTGCGGGTCACAACCCCAGGCGACGGATTTGACACCGCCTTAATGCGGGCACCGCAGGCCCATGAGTCACAACACCCCTCTTCTTGCCTTCCACCCACATGTAGTCACAAAGCCCCTCCTCTTGCCTTCCGCCTGCAGATGGCAAGCTCAATTTTGCTGCACCAGCAGACAGACAGAGAGAGCAATCATGTTGCACACAAAAGAGACAGTGAACTCATGCTTCTGGTCTAACAATGACAACATGACCCTCCGAAAACTTTTCCTAGAGCTTCGTATTGTGAGACCTACACGAACCGCAAAACTTAACATGCGACATGCACTTCAAACGCTTTCCAAGCATCGCCCTCCATGGTTTGGGACCTCCACGCACATCAAAGCCAAACATGCCACATGCGGCTTTAAACGCTTTCGCAGAATCGCCATTCTCAACAGCAAAGTATCATTCCGGCCAAGTAAACGCCGTCCGTGGTGCTTGTCAGAACCGTGCGATCCGCCTTCTTCTAAGCGCGTGCTAGGATCACCTCGTGTTTTTCGTGCCATGAATCTGGCAGCAACGGAAGCGAAAACTAGCGACATGCTGATTCATGCGCAACCCACGAGTCGCCAGACCTCTGCTTCCATGCTTCGTCCTTATCCTAGTCAGAGGTCGCAACCGCACCCTCGATGCTTGGATTGGTGACATGTCCGGGCCAGGATATTTGCTTTGCATGTAATCCACGGCAGCATGACCTTTGCCACAAATCCATGTTCTCTCCTTTACACTCCACGACAAGAGGGCGACGACGATGACGAGCACGAACACAAGCACGAGGACGAAGACCACCACGACAGCGACGACACAGCGACTGCACGAGGACGACGACGACGACCAACAAAGGACGATGACGACGAGCACGACACAAGGTTTCGGGTTTAGTTTCGGGTTTAGAACTCAAACACCCACCAACCCCGAAACCCTAACCCAAAAAACCCAAGCCTACCAAACCCTAAACATCAAATCCTCGTCCCCAAACCATCCAAACCTTAATCCCGAAACCCAATACCCCCTACACCCCAAATCCTTAAACCTCAACCCCACCAAAGCCTAATCCCCAAACCCCACACCCAAATGCTAAGAAGTACGATATGTTGCCGTTGTTTTGGCCTCGGAGCGGTGCCCAAGTGCTAAGAAGTACGATTTGTTGCCGTTGTTCTGGCCTCGAAGCGGTGCCCAAGTCCTAAGAAGT